AGAAAAAAAAATCTAGCAAAGACCTGACACTGGACCTGAGAGATGCATCTGGCCCTTCAATCAATCCATCTGCTGTTCACTGAAGCCTCATCAGAAATCGCATCAGCGGAAGGGTGGCTGTCAAGAAGCCATTCCTAAGGGAAACAGGGAGAAAAGGATGAGATATACCAAACTACACAAGAACTGGAAAGAGAATAAGTGGCAACATCATTTGTCATCAATATGCATGGAGCAGATTGGAGGAGAAGTACAACAGTGAGTACAAGGCTTTGTAGTTGTTTGAGGCTGTTTTTCAGTCAATGGTGTTGAGATCTTGTCAGAACTGATGGAATTATGAATGCAGAAAAGCATCTTCAGATTTTGATCCACCATTGGGAAAACATCTGATTGGCAACGATTCATGATTGCAAATACGCTGCTCATGGAGTAAACACTATTAGTCATGGATTGGCCTCCCCAGAGCCTGGACTTCAACATTATTGAAGCAGCGTGGGATTATCTCAACAGAGAACAGAATGAAAGCAGCCAACATCCAAAGAGCAGCTTTAAATGTCGTCCAAGAAGCCTGGAGAATTATTCAATGACTAATGACATTCAAGCTTGTTAGAATTGCACAAACTCTTTTGCCTTGTATACTGTGTTTACATCTTTTCCCCACTTTTCTTGCAAAATATAAAGAAATGAGAGGTGACTTTTTTTGCACAATACTGTATATTATCCATTTGTTGGTGAGATCATAGTTATAAACAACAAATTCCCCTCTGAGTCTTTTTATGAAACATATAAAAATCTGAAAAAGTTTAAATCATGTTAACATAATTCATCTGGACAATCTGGACAGGCAGCTAACTTGCTTGCTTCTTTCTGGGCTCATGTTAAATCACAGATTAGATGGTTTATGGCATTCTTGTAGGAGTTTTACCCAGTGAAGGGGGGCCCACAATTTACAGGGATTATATGGTGTGCTTTATATCTAGGTATGCACATAAAGAGCATGAGCCAGGGAGAGCAGAGCTTTTGCATGGCTGCATTAGCACCATGCAGGAGCTAATCCAGCAAGCAGCAAGCAATGGGGCTAAGTGGAACAGAGTTTTAAAACAAACACGTCCAAAGAGCCAAAAACTGCCACTTAATCTACATTCATAGGGGTTAGATTTGGTCCTAGAGATCAGCTGCTGCTGAAGGGTCACTGACTAATACATGCTCTTACAGCTAAACCTGCTCATTGTCCCCCCTTTTGGGTAAAAATTGAGACAAAATGGTTATTTGGAGAAGCTGAGCAAAAATAGACAGCCTACTTTTATTTGGAAGCTGCTGATATCAGGTTTGCTGTAAAACACATGCATAAAGTGTCAAAATACAAGCTGCATGTCCAAAAGTTCAAATTAAAAGGCAGAGTGGGGGAAAATGGGTCTACAGGGGCAAACGGGAACTGTAGACCAAGAGCCAAAAAAAAGGAAATCAGTTCCTAGGACTTTATTTCTAGGTAATGTTTTTGAGTTCCTAAAAAGGTCTTTCCAAGAAAAGTTGCTGTGGGGACTGTGGGGCCAATGAAAAGGTAGATCGATGATGCAGGTAAACAAGAATCTTTATTCCGTTCAATTTAACAAGTGGCAGCCAGTGATGTTGACTCAAGTAGATATCTGTGTAGCTGAAAGCTCACCTGCACCCCCCCCCAATATAAAGACACAGTCAGATAATGATTGACTCCTTGTTTTGGAAGTATTCCTTGTCGTCATTGAGGATTTGTTTGTTAATGCCTAACAGTTGCAGAGAGCTGAGCAGAAGGGATGCAGTGTTTCTTCGAATCAATGAAATATGATCCAGGAAGGCTGATTTACGTAATAGATTCATGCGTTTAAAGGTTTATCAGATGCCAAAGCACTACATCGTATAATAAAAAACGATTAGGAAGGATTTTACACGCTAACTTGAAAGTGATTATGGCAACAATCATTATACAGCAACCATAAAGCCCACTGCGTCAGCACATCTCCCCCATCAATACAGTGATTGGCGGTGGGTTGGCGGCTTTATTCAGTAGTCCAAATGTTGATGTAGTGAAATGAATGCGAAGCAATCAATGCGCTCCATGACTACGCCTGTAAAACAGTAAAATAAAAGTAAAAATCAAATCTGATTTAAGTTCGGCCAGGCTGAACCTCTGGATCGCTTCAAGCGTGACTGCTATTTTTAGGTGGCTCTTTTTAAACTTGCAAGTGTGCATTTGCATGCACCTCCAGCTTGTGCAGATAGTGAACATAAACCTGATGTCATCTGACCTTCATGTCAGGGATGACAGCCCAGTATCTGACTATGACCTAAAAGCTAAACGGGGGGTCGGCTTTTGAGAAGGGGATATTTGGTGCAACGAATTGAACTGTGGGCATGTTCCACTCTTCTGTTGTATGCTGGCAGTCAGCAGATTTTGGTCCCTACCTGCTCTACTCACATGATTCATTTCACTATAACTCACTATGTCATTTTTTCCTAATTGAAATTCAAGTACGAGGTCACTGTTTCGACATGCTGGAGGAAATCCAGTGCACATCCGCAGGTGTGTGAGTGCAAGCAGCCAGAGCAGACTTCCGTGGAGTGATTTAAAAATAACAGCAGAGCTTAAAATGGTCCAGTGGTGCACCAACAGACAATCTTGAGTGGGACAGTGGCTAAATTTAAACAAGGTATGCATGATCACACCAACTACTGCAGAGTGAGTATAATGTATCCCAGATTTGTCTCACCATAACCTGCATAAAAAAGCACATTTATCTTGCCTTTACTGTTAATCACACAAATCAACACAAATTAAGTGTCATTCTCTTCTGCGCTCTGATAGACAGTTGGAGGAATGAATTATTTGATGTCCTGCAGAATTTGTACATTTGCTCACCTCAAAATAAATGAACAGTCTGCAATTTTTATGGTAGTTTCATTTTTAATGTAAAGAGACAGAATATCAACCAAAACCCCAGAAAAACACCTTACGTAAAACTCTCACACTGACTTGCATGTCACTGAGCGAGATAAGTATTTGGTCTCTGTAATCTCTTTAATCAGAGATTCAGACACGGCTTGGGAGAAAGTGTTGTGGTCAGGTGAAACATAAATGCAGCTATTTGGCATCAACGACCTGCCGTGTCAGAAATGCAGAGTACGACCCAAAAGAACACCATCCCTGCTGTCAAACACGGAGGTAGAAACATTATGCTTTGGGCTGTTTTTCCTGCTAAGGCTACAGGACAATTTTACTGCATCCATCTATCCATTTTCTTCCGCTTATCCAGGGCTGGGTCGCGCGGGCAGCAGCCCAAGCAGAGAAGCCCAGACCTCCCTCTCCCCAGCCACCTCCTCCAGCTTATCCGGGGGAACACCAAGGCATTCCCAGGCCATTCGAGAGATATAATCTCTCCAGCGTGTCCAGTGTGTCCTGGGCTTCCTCCCGGTGGGACATGCCCAGAAAACCTCGCTCAGGATGCATCCTCGTCAGATGCCCGAACCACCTCAACTGGCTCCTTTCGATGTGGAGGAGCAGCGGTTCTATACTGAGCCCCTCCCGAATGGCTGAACTTCTCACCCTATCTCTAAGGGAGAGGCCAGTCACCCTTCGGAAGAAACCCATTTCTGCTGCTTGTAATCGCGATCTCGTGCTTTCGGTCACTACCCACAGCTCGTGACCATAGGTGAGGGTAGTGGCGTAGATTGACCGGTAAATTGAGAGCTTCACTTCACTCAACTCTCTCTTCACCACAACAGACCGGTACAGCGGCTGCAGTGGTGCGGACGCTGTACTGGCACCAATCCGTCTGTCGATCTCCCGCTCCCTTCTCCCATCACTCGTGAACAAGACCTCGAAATACTTAAACTCCTCCACTTGGGGCAGGGTCTCGTCCCTGACCCGGAGTGGGCCAATGGACCATAAATTATTGGACGAGAACCTCGTTCCTTTAGCTAGAACACTGAAGATGGGTCTGGAAGGGTCTTCCAGCAAAACAATAAAAAAACAAAACAAAAAAGTGGCCAAGAAGAAGCACATTAAAGTTGTGGAATGGCCCAGCCAGAAAAAATTGTGGTGGGAGCCGAAGCTTAGAGAGTTTCTGTAAAGAGGAGTGGGCCAACATCCTTCCTTAGACATGTACAAACCTGGTGACCAACTACAAGAAACTCTCTCTACCATTAAATATTAGAGACTGTTCATTTCTTTGGAAGTGAGCACAACTTACAAATTCAGCAGTGAATTGAATAATTACTTCCCCACTGCAGCCGTCTATACTCAGATTTAACAAATGAAGATATTGCATGGTGCTTTAAGGTGGCATTTTATTCATTGAACTGAATATCGGTCTCTCATAAAAAATATATATATTTATGTGCAGGAGTTTCTTATTCGTCTCTTCGGCTTTCTTTCATTATTATTAGATGTGCGAATGTCACTTTGCCGCACAAAAACAGAAGAACACCGCTGCCCAATTAAATTTCCGAAAAACACAGCATTCACAACACAGCAACCTTTTTCTTATTTTTTATAAAACAATATGATTTGAAAATAAATATGCTTTTCTGTTTACACAGACAAAGAAAACATGTTAATAGTGAAGAAGAGACAAAGGGATCTAATAATTAGGGCTCTAAGACTGATGGCAGAAAGATGCAGATTGTTATCCAGATTTGAAAACGGTGGTAGTGTTGTAGTATTGTATACTGAGCTGCGAGCAGTAGTTTTTTATATTTGCATCTTGGGTCGTGTACAAAACAAACGTTCGCTACTTACTTAAATACTTAAATACTTACTTCACACAGATGTATCCCATTCAATCACTCATATAGACATTAACTCTT